CAAGAACTACAATTCTGCAGCCTGTGGAATGAAAACCACATTAACAGAAAGATAGACAAGATGAAAAGGCAGAGGGCTATGTACTAGATGAAGGAACAAGATAAAACCCCAGAAAAACAACTAAATGAAGTGGAGATAGGAAACCTTCCAGAAAAAGAATTCAGAATAAAGATAGTGAAGATGATCCAGGACCTTGGAAAAAGAATGGAGGCAAAGATCAAGAAGACGCAAGAAACGTTTAACAAAGACCTAAAAGAATTAAAGAACAAACAAACAGAGGTGAACAATAAAATAACCGAAATGAAAAATACACTAGAAGGAATCAACAGAATAACTGAGGCAGAAAAAAGGATAAGTGACCTGGAAGACAGAATGGTGGAATTAACTGCCACAGAGCAGAATAAAGAAAAGAGAATAAAAAGAAATGAAGAGAGCCTAAGAGAACTCTGGGACAACATTAAACATACCAACATTGGCATTATACGGGTCCCAGAAGAAGACAGAGAGAAAGGATCCGAGAAAATATTTGAAGAGATTATAAACAAAAACTTTCCTAACATGGGAAAGGAAATAGCCACCCAAGTCCGGGAAGTGCAGAGAGTCACAGGCAGGATAAACCAAGGACAGACATGCCAAGACACAAAGTAATCAAACTGACAAAAATTAAAGACAAAGAAAAATTATTAAAAGCAACAAGGGAGAGGCTTCCCTGCTGGCGCAGTGGTTGAGCATCCACCTGCCAATGCAGGGGACATGGGTTCGACCCCTAGTCCAGAAAGATCCCACATGCTGTAGAGCAACTGAGCTCGTGCGCCACAGCTACTGAGCCTGCACTCTAGAGCCCGCGAGCCACAACTACTGAAGCCCAAGTGCCTAGAGCCCATGCTCTGCAACAAGAGAAGCCAGCGCAATGAGAAGCCTGTGCACCACAACGAAGAGGAGCCCAGGCTCACCACAACTAGAGAAAGCCGGCGTGCAGCAATGAAGATGCAGCGCAACCCAAAATAAATAAATAAATAGATAAATAAATAAATAAGTTTATTTTTTTTAAAAAAAAGCAACAAGGGAAAAAACGTCAAATAACATACAAGGGAACTCCCATGAGGTTAACAGCTGATCTCTCAGCAGAAACTCTACAAGCAAGAAGAGTGGCACAGTATATTTAAAGTGATGAAAGGGAAGAACCTACAACCAAGATCACTCTACCTGGCAAGGATCTCATTCAGATTCAATGGAGAAGTCAAAAGCTTTACAGACAAGCAAAAGCTAAGAGAATTCAGCACCACGACACCAGCTCTACAACAAATGCTAAAGGAACTTCTCTAAGTGGGAAACAGAAGAGAAGAAAAGGATCTACAAAAACAAACCCAAAACAATTAAGAAAATAGTAATAGGAACATACATATCGATAATCACCTCAAACATGAATGGATTAAATGCTCCAACCAAAAGACACAGGCTCTCTGAATGGATACAAAAAAAAACTCCGTATGTATGCTGTCTACAAGAGAGCCACTTCAGACCAGGGACACATACAGACTGAAAGCAAGGGGATGGAAAAAGATATTACATGCAAATGGAAATCAAAAGAAAACTGGAGTAGCAATACTCATATCAGATAAAACAGACTTTAAAGAATGTTACAAGAGACAAGGAAGGACACTACATAATGATCAAGGGATCAATCCAAGAAGAAGCTATAATGATTATAAATATATATGCACCCAACATAGGAGCACCTCAATACGTAAGGCGAATGCTAACAGCTGTAAAAGAGGAAATCAACAGTAACACAATAATAGTGGGGGACGACTTTAACACCTCACTTACACCAATGGACAGATCATCCAAACAGAAAATTAATAAGGAAACACAAGCTTTAAGTGACACAACAGACCAGATAGATTTGATATTTATAGGACATTCCAACTGAAAACAGCAGATTACACTTTCTTCTCAAGTGCACACAGAACATTCTCCAGGACAGATCACATCTTGGGTCACAAACCAAGCCTCAGTAAATTTAAGAAAACTGAAATCGTATCAAGCATCTTTTCTGACCACAATGCTATGAGATTAGAAATCAATTACAGGGGCAAAAAACATAAAAAACACAAACACATGGAGGCTAAACAATACATTACTAAATAACCAAGAGATCACTGAATATGATCATCTCAATAGATGCAGAAAAAGCTTTTAACAAAATCCAACACCCATTTATGATAAAAACTCTCCTGAAAGTGGGTACCGAGGGAACCTTCCTCAACATGATAAAGGCCATATATGACAAACCCACAGTCAACATCATTCTCAATGGTGAAAAACTGAAAGCATTTCCCCTAAAATCAGGAAAAAGACAAGGATGTCCACTCTCGCCACTATTGTTCAACATAGTTTTGGAAGTCCTAGCCACGGCAATCAGAGAAGAAAAAGAAATAAAAGGAATACAAATTGGAAAAGAAGAAGTAAAACTGTCACTGTTTGCAGATGACCTGATACTATACATAGAGAATCCTAAAGATGCCACCAGCAAACTACTAGAGCTAATCAATGAATTTGGTAAAGTTGCAGGATATAAAATTAATGCACAGAAATTTCTGGCATTCCTATACACTAACAATGAAAGATCAGAAAGAGAAATTAAGGAAACAATCCCATTCACCATTGCAACAAAAAGAACAAAATACCTAGGAATAAACCTACCTAAGGAGGTAAAAGACCTGTACTCAGAAAACTATAAAACACTGATGAAAGAAATCAAAGACGACACAGATGGAGAGATATATCATGTTCTTGGATTGGAAGAATCAATACTGTGAAAATGACTCCACTACCCAAAGCAATCTACAGATTTGATGCAATCCTTATCAAATTACCAATGGCATTTTTTACAGAACTAGAACAAAAAAACCTTGAAATCTGCATAGAAACACAAAAGACCCCAAATAGCCAAAGGAATCTTGAGGGAAAAAAACAGAGCTGGAGGAATCAGGCTCCCTGACTTCAGACTATACTGCAAAACTATAGTAATCAAGGCAACATAGTACTGGCACAAAAACAGAAATACAGACCAATGGAACAGGATAGAAAGCCCAGAGATAAACCCACATACCTACGGTCAACTAATCTATGACAAAGGAGGCAAGGATATACAATGGAGAAAAGACACTCTCTTCAATAAGTGGTGCTGGGAAAACTGGACAGCTACATGTAAAAGAATTAAATTAGAATACTCCCTAACACCATACACAAAAATAAACTGAAAATGGATTAAAGACCTAAATGTAAGACGAGACATTATATAACTCTCAGAGGAAAATATAGGAAGAACACTCTTTGACATAAATCACAGCAAGATCTTTTTTGACCCACATCCTAGAGTAATGGAAATAAAAACAAAAATAAACAAATGGGACCTAATGAAACTTAAAAGCTTTTGCACAGCAAAGGAACCTATAAACAAGACAAAAAGACAACCCTCAGAATGGGAGAAAATATTTGCAAAAAGGGTTTCCCTGGTGGCACAGTGGTTAAGAGTCCGCCTGCCGATGCAGGGGACACGGGTCCGTGCCCCGGTCCGGGAAGATCCCACGTGCCGCGGAGTGGCTGGGCCCGTGAGCCATGGCTGCTGAGCCTGTGCGTCTGGAGCCTGTGCTCCACAACGGGAGAGGCCACAACAGTGAGAGGCCCACGTACCACACACACACACAAAAAAAATTTGCAAACGAATCAATGGACAAAGAATTAATCTCCAAAACATATAAACAGCTCATGCAGCTCAATATTAAAAAAGCAAACAACCCAATGCAAAAATGGGCAGAAGACCTAAATAGACATTTCTCCAACAAAGACATACAGATGGCCATGAAAAGCTGCTCAACATCACTAATCATTAGAGAAATGCAAATCAAAACCACAGTGAGGTATCACCTCACACGGGTTAGAATGGGCATCATCAGAAAATCTACAAACAACAAATGCTGGAGAGGGTGTGGAGAAAAGGGAACCCTCTTGCACTGTTGGTGGGAATGTAAATTGATACAGCCACTATGGAGAACAGTATGAAGGTTCCTTAAAAAACTAAAAATAGAATTACCGTATGACCCAGCAATCCCACTACTGGGCATATACCCAGAGAAAACCATAATTCAAAAAGACACATGCACTCCAATGTTCCTTGCAGAACTATTTACAATAGCCAAGTCATGGAAGCAACCTAAATGCGTATCAGCAGACGAATGGATAAAGAAGATGTGGTACAGTTATACAATGGAATATTACTCAGCCATAAAAAAGGAATGAAATTGGATCATTTGTAGAAATGTGGATGGACGTAGAGACTGTCATACAGAGTGAAGTCAGTCAGAAAGAGAAAAACAAATACTGTATATTAACGCATATATGTGGAATCTAGAAAAAATGGTACAGATGAACTGGTTTGCAAGGCAGAAATAGAGACATAGATGTAGAGAACAAACGATGTAGACAACAAGGGGGGCAGGGGGGATGAACTGGGAGATTGGGATTGACATATATACACCAATATGTATAAAATAGCTAACTAATAAAAACCTGTTGTATAAAAAATAAATAAAATTTTTTAAAAAAGTGTATCAACCCCCAGCAACACATAACTGAAGCAGATTAGATTATTGCAGTGCAATCTATTAGCAGCCATTCCTGCAGAATGTAATTATCAGAGTTGTCGGGTCCTCGGACCACAACTAGCTGCTGTTTCAATCTGGAAAACTCAAGGCAGCAATTTTCATCTATGACTGAGAGGGTCATGTGCTCAAAACCAAGGTGAGCTGAGGATAGGAAATGCATCAGATTCTCCATGCCAAAAAGAGGCTCAGGCCGAATGGAGAAGGCTCTAGAATTCCTATTCCCTGGGAGAAACAGTAGCCATAGAAGTCCTTTCCAGAAGGAAAAACAAGCTCTTGTATCTGATGGCACCTTGAACACACACACACTTAGGAAACAGATAAGCCACTTACCACTGGCCGGCTTTAAAAGAAAAGTCTTTATCAGCTACAAGCAGGCGGAGCCTCTTCACAGACGGGGACTCATCAGCTGCTCCACAAACCTTAGCTGCTGACACGACCTGGAGCCAAAAGACCACAGTGGCTGAGGTTAGGTGCACACAACTCAGGAACAAACTGTGGCTTTCTGGTAGGTCGGTTTTAGGTTTTTTTTTTAAATCTACAAAGATGTGGGTTTTGAAAATTGCAAAACAAGGTAAAGCACACTTTGCTTTAGAATTCTGCCTACCACCAGGTGAACAAATTTTACTTATTTTGGGAGAATTTTATTCTGCATACAAAACTCACCTCTGAAAGGGACCGTTTAACAAGCGTGTATTTGTGGAGTGTGCAGTGTGTGCCATGCATGAGGCTGGGTGCTCTGGGGAAGAGCCGGGGCACCGGAGCCCCATGCAGCCCTGCCTGGAGCCTGACTGCTCTGTCAGCGCTATGCACGCAAATGAGACCCACCGTCAGCCACAAGCCTGTGTTTGTCCTGAGCCCGTCAGAAGCCCACGCCAAGCTGACTTCAGAAATTAAAAGCAAGCACTTAGAAACTTTTTTTTATTTTAAGCAATTTTCACAGAGTAAATTGTATGCCTCTTTAATCTAATAACAGACAACAAATTGGGTTTGTACTCCTCGTGCCTTTGTTTTCTTCATTTATTTTTTTCTAATTCATTTTTTATTATATTTTACAAGATATAAACAGTTCACGACCTTCAAACAACAAAAACAGCCCTTTGCTACAGATCGTTGGAGAAACACTATTTTAAACGATGTATCTGATTTCCAGAAAATCCTAAAAAGGTCTGAGTCAGGTACTCTTCAGTTCAGTGACATCCATGCCTCCAACACCCCTCAAATTCCAAATGCCTCTACTTCCTACATTCCTTGTTTCTTCCGCCTGTGGGTTTGTCTTCCTCCCAAACCTGGGATTTCTTCACAACAGGGCTGAAAAGACAGTATGACTCTTTCCTTCACCTACTGCCCTTCAGCTCCACTTCTGGCGGCAAATCAAATCAGTAGCAGGTGACCAAACAGTCCTTCTCCTTGACTGTGTTACCTTCACAGCTCCATTAGGGGGCGCCTTGGGAATCTGTCGAGGTCAGTGAGCCTCCCACCCTAATGCTAGCTCCCCTAGCCCCTTTTTTCCAATAGGACCAAGTCCAGTCAAACTATCAGTGGGAGACAATTCTTAAAAATCCACGGGAAAATTCTCCAGATGATGATGGTCTCCCTCTCTACCTCAACAAACCTCTTAAAATGTTCTCCCTTTCTCTTGCTCCTATAAAACCCCCTGCCTCTCTTTCTCTGTATTTTTGCCAGTCCTCTCTCTCCTCCTCTCCCTGAGAGCAAGTGGGGTGAATATCCCCTCTGGAGCCTCTGAGCTTGGCCCCACCCCCACCCTGCATGAAACGCTGCTTCACCAGCTCCCACTAGCCTCTCCACGTTCAACCTCCTCCTCTAGACTCCCTGACTCATCAGACATGATGTCTAATGCTAACTGCTCATCCTCAACAATTCAGCAGCAAAAAGGAAGCAGCAGAGTACGGCTTTTAACAGCACAGGCTCTACAGCTAGACTGCTTGGTATTGAAGCCTGGTGCCACCACTTACCAGCTGTGTGACCCTGGCCACACATGTGACCCTAGGCCGCCTCAGCTGGGAGATGAGAATAACAGCACCCGTACCTCACAGAGTTGGTGGGAAGATTAAAGGAGACAACATATGCAAAGCGCACATAACGCTGCTGGCCCACAGTAAGTGCTCCTTAAGTGTCTGTTTTAATGTACCTTATTGCATTAATTATAATGAATTTATCAGTATTTATTCATTATTACAAGAAATCTCACACTTTATCCATTTACGATCGTGCATGCCACCTCACCAGTGCCGCCATGCAGGGCCTCGCAGACCAAGCACCACACACCCCGGGGAGCTGTTCTCATGGACAACAGTACAGACTATAAAGCATGGTGGTCTTGGTACCACAGCCTATTCACTGTTTTGCTAGAACAAACTTAAAAGCCATACTGTCTTTAAAAGCTATTCTGGAAATCTTGCCTTTAACACTGGCCTCTACTTATACTTCTTTATCCGACGTAACCTTCCCGGCTCCCTTGATGCTCTCTGCACCCATGGGAAACCTGGCTTCTGCTCTCCTGTGACTTCTCCCAAGCTTGGTGGATGTCTTGCCGAACAACCAAACTCAACATCCAGTCCCAGTTCTCAGCCTCCCTTCTGAGCATCCCTGGTCTCTCTGAATTTGATGCTTCCTACTTCCTTTCCGTCCTGAAGCACCCTCTTTGCCTGGGACGGCTGACACTGAACTCTCCCGACCCCCTCCTGCCTCTCTGACCTGGTCCTCCTGCCCCTTCTCCGCCCCTCCTCCCACCTCCTTACCAGGCGCTTCCTCTGAGCTGCCTCCCTCCTGCGCCCTCTTCACCTCCAGGCTGAGGCCCTCAAGCACTCCCAAAGCTACAACCCTCCACCCCAATTCACCGTTACTTCTCTGCCAATCACAGGCTCACATCTACATGCCCCTGTAAAAACAGCCAACGTCTGAGGAGCATTTATCTCAGGTGTATGCCAGGTGCTGAGCTAAATGTTTTATGTGCATTAATTCATTCAGCTAATATGAATAACCATATCCTATCCCGACAGTATTGTTACCCTCCATTCTGCAGATGAGGAAGTGGAAAGGTTCAGTAACTTGCTCCAGATCACTCAGGAATGGCCGTGTCGGGATTCATACCCAGGTCTGCTTGGCCCTTGACCACCTGAAAGTCCTGATCCAATGGCAAACTCACTGATGTGCACAACTAAACCCAGCATATTCATTCCTTCCACAAACCTTTCTTGAACTTGGTGCCTGGCGCTGGTGGCACAGAGGTGTAGAAGGCTGCTCCTGCCCTCAGAGGGCCCCGCAAAAGCAGCCGCCTTTCACAACCAAGGTTTCAGACCAAGGTTTCAATTCTGGATCGACCTTGGAGTCAGTAAGTCAAATCCATGATCTACTGGTACCTGCACACACAGTCTTGGTTCATCGCTAACACAGGCCAGTTTCACGAATTCAGCTCACGCCTCTTCCTCCCCTTGCTCACCCACCACCATCCTAAGCCAAGAACTCTGTTCTTCTCACTTGAGTTTCTGCCTCAGCCTCCTTCTTATCTCTCTCAAAACAGCCAACAGGCGAATATTCCTAATGTTCTGACCTCACCAAGTTACTCACCAGCTCAAAACCCTCCAAGGGCTCCCTAACTCTCAACTACAAACAGAATGCTCAGAGGCCTTGGTAACTCATACCAGCCTGAACTCCTCCTGGTTTACCAGCCAAACTGGACGACTTGCCAGTCCTTAAAGGTACCTGACACCTGCCTCCCTCTCAAAGCCCTGCTGAGGTCTCTGGGCAGGCACCCGCCCTCAGTCCTGTCACCCTCCCACCCAGGCCCCTGGGCCCTGCTCAAACACCACCCCTCGCCCAGGTCCTCCCTCTCCTCTCCATCCTCTCAACTCTGCCAATAAAATTTTTCCGCCTGTCTTATCATACTTAGCACATTTAATGTAAATATAGATACTCATGAACCGATCTTTTCCACACACAGACCACAAGCCTCCTGAGGTCACGTACTGGATAGAATTTCCATCTAGATCACTTCCCTGCCTCAAGCATGGGGCCAAACACATAGTTAAGATTCAGTAAATATCTGCAGAATGAATGAAAACTCTAACTTAAAGTGACTTAAAATTGGTTTCCAAAACAAAGGTTAGTAGAAATTCAGGAGTTATTTGTTGTTCAAAAAAACAAAAAGAAAAGAAAAGAAAAAAAAAAGCGAGTGGGGGACCACTAAAGAAAATCTAAATTCATGTTCAAAACTGTGGAAAAGTCAGGGAAGGCAGGGATTTCTTCAGTAGAATAGGAATCTTCCTTTGTTTGCCACACACTCTATTTTAAGTATCTTATTACAAAGACAAAGTAATAACGATCAGCAGAGGACTCTCCATGACATTATTACTCTCACTTCTTTAGGTTTACAAAAAAGAAACATTTGTTTTTGTAAACAGTCATTATTTTCTTTCAATACAATAATCTGCAAAAACACAGCCAAGAGCTAGATTATTTCATTTGTAACAGTTTAATGGGCATCTGTCAGATTCATTAAAAACTAGATATGTATAAGCTTTAAACACATCCCAAAGAGTCACCTGGTCACAGGGAAATGACATTCATAATCACAGGGGAGGTGGGGAAAGGCACAGAGAATTTCAGCTGAAACATGAGCATGCTTGACCAGCAAATGCTAGACTACATAAAATGAATTCAACAATCATCTGCCAATGTCCAAATAAATTCAATGAAGAAGGGAAAGAAGTTATACTTCCCATTGAAAAAGTCCTATTTTCATCTGGATAGCCCCCATGACCAAAAATGATCCCAGATGCTTTATGCCTACTGGTATTAATACAAAAGGCAACATACCTGTTGCTATTAGTCCAAATAATCTGGGCAAAACTGCTATAACTGGTCACACAAAATACCTTTGCACAATTCATGATTTTTAAAGACATGCCTCCCTCTTAACACCTTATTTTGTTAATATAAATACTGTTCACTATACAAAGATTTCTAGCAATGGGGATTAAAAACATCAGCAAAATCTTTTTGAAGGCCATGTCTTCTATTTATTCTGAAGCTATTTCATATAATTAAGCCATGATTATGGCTCTGGTTATATGCCATTCTTTCTCTACTTTTAGTGAATAAGCAAAACATGATGGAGAAACTGTATGTTTTAACATTTGTACTCGTTCTCATACTTAATGGATCAAAAGATTTCGCAATTGAAACCTCAACTAGCCACGTCCTAAGTTAAAACACATGGCAGGAAATGAAGTTTTCCATAAAATAACATCTAGACTCTACTACTGTTCAGTAAAATAACAATACATTTGCCAACTTTTACTAGCACACTTTTTTAATGCTTTGTCAGAGTCAGCATCTAAAAGGAAATGCCATCATACTGACTGAAAGGGTTTTATGGATGATATTTTGATGTTACTGCTGCTACAAAAGTCTCTGT